CAGGTCAAAGCAGGCCATAAGCCAAACAGAAAAAGATGGCAGGGCTGAGCAAACACGGTATTCACTATTGTGATTCTCTCTCCATCTCCCAACAACAACAACAAAATATATATATATCTACATATAAACACATCTGTGAATTCATACACAAACCAATCCCTCCCTTACCTTAAGCACAGGTCAGGCCTTTACTAGAATAATATGTCTAAACTTGAGGTCTAAAGCTTAGACAATGATGTGATAACATGAAAAGGCTTCCAAAAACTGTCTCAAAGGGGAACTAAGACATTAAGAAAAACAGTATCTATTAAAAAGTGCCCACATTTCAAATGGATTATTTTAAAAAAACACAATTAGATGTTTGGAATTTAGAATGCCTTTTTCATAGAAACGATATTACAAATCGTTAGTTACCTTCCTAGACCTGCCAAGAAGGATGAGCAAAGTCACTGGCTACGCTAGGTGCGCAGCTGGACACCAAGTCAGCAGTGAGGAGACCTGGGATTTTGTTTGAGTTCTGTCAGCTGGTGGAAAACTTCAGATCCTGCAGTTGCAAATAAGGGAGCTGAACTAGGTGGTACTCAAGGTCCCTGCAAGCTCTAACAGTCTTCAACACAGAACCAAAAGAATCAATTCCGGTAACCCACTCACAATTTATAGCAGCTTTTCTATGCAAATTGAATTCCAATTTCTGAAACCAGAAGGATCTCTCCTTTCTGTGGGAAACAAGAGCTGCCTTTTTCATGTGAGCGTGAGCTACGGGGAGGACTGGTGAGCTATCTACTCCAGAACAGTGACTTACTTATTCTCTACTTATTATTATTATAATTTCTCACTTCTTCTCTATTTCTTCTTCTACCATACGCTTTAAGCTAGCCCCTCTGGGGTGGGCCCTGGGGCCGAGTCGTTAAGTTTGTGCGCTCCGCTCCAGCAGCCCAGGGGTTCGCTGGTTCGGATCCTGGGCATGGACATGGCACCACTCATCAAGCCATGCTAGGGCGGCGTCCCACATGCCACAACTAGAAAGACCCACAAGTAAAAATACACAACTATGTACTAGGGGGCTTGGGGGAGAAAAAGGAAAAATAAAATCTTTAAAAAAAAAAAAAGAAAGAAATCACTCCTCCATATTCTGGAGTCATAAAAGACAACTATCTAGATCAATGTTCAAGAGGTTTAAATTGGGAGGCAAAAAGCAGGAGAGGTCATGGTGGGGAAAGACAGGAGCCCTACAATGTCCTGTGTGTGCAGTTATTTTGGGGCATCACATGACCTGAAAACACAATAAATTAGGGCTAGTGAATCTACAAAAGGTAAGCCAAGCAGCCCTTATATATATGAACTTCTTAATGTTTGCTTTATAAGAAAGTAACCAGTAATCATTTTCCATCTCCACTGGGGGTAGAACAAAAGGAAATAGGTATAAGGATGAAGAATTTAAATTTGGCAAATGGAAAATTTTCCTAATAGAAACCAATGACAAACAGATGAATAAGTTACCAACCGCAGTAAGCAGAATAATGTCCTCCAAAAGATGTCCACGTCCTAATCCGCAGAACCTGTGAATACGTTAGGGCACACGGCAAAGGGGAATTAAGGGTGCAGATGGAATTAAGATCAGCAAATCAGCCGATCTTAAAGTGAGGCAACTGTCCTGGGTTATTGCTGTGGCCCCAATGTAACCACAAAGTCCTTAAAAGTAGAAGAGGGAGATGGGTTGTTAGTGTGACCCGGGAAGGACAGAGCGTGGTCGAAGGACTTGATTCGCCCCTGTCCACTGTGAAGATGTTTGAGAAGGGGACCATCACCAGGGAATGCAGGTGGTCCCTAAAGATGGAAAAGGCAAGGAAGCACATCATCCCCCAGAGCTGCCCAAAGGGGACAAGTCCCTTTCAACACCTTGATTTAGCACAGGAAGACCCTGTGTCGGACCTTTGACCTACAGACAGTAAGCTATTAAATCTGCGTTGTTTGAAGCCACCACATTTGTGGCAATTTGTTAGAGCAGCAACAGGAAATTACTACACCTTCAGGAAGACAGGCATTCCATTTCCTGTGAGCCTTTTAAAGCAGGATGTTCCTCTTTTTGCGATACTTTATAAACGACAGCGTTTAAAGTCTTTCCATCTCTGTATAGCAGTTGGAAGGTCTGTATACTAACATTAGAATCAAAGAACTTCTATAAAGTCAGACAGAACATTAAATTGGGTGGACAATGGCAAAGTGGAAAATCTAGATCAGCTTCTCAAACTTTAATGTGCCTACGAATCCTGATAGAATGCAGATTCCGAGTCAGGAGGTCTGGAGTGGGGACAGATTCTGCATTTCTAACAGGTTCCCAGGTGATGATGACGATGTTGATCCTCAGACCACAGTGAAGGAAAGCAGCAAGGGGACGGAATGGTAACGGCCTCCCAGGTTGAGGTCTCTGAGCCTGTTTAACTCCACTCTGAAAATGCCACCCAGAGTATATATATATATACTCTTCTTGAACCTGCTTACCCTTCAGGCAGTCAGCTTTTGGGCAATCGTATTCTCTAACATAACTATCCACCATAAAAAGAAATATTTTCTCCATTTAATTCTGAAAAGATACCTCCAAGGACCAGAATTTCAAAGTTTAGTGAAAACTGATTGGCTCTAACCGTATGCTAACTCATTTTACAGTTATCTTGGCTTTTGGCCAAATGTCTCCAAATCCGTTTTCATCCAAAGGGAAGCAGTGTGACTGTGGACACAGACAGGCTTTGGAGTCACAAAGTCTGAGTCTGAATCCTTGCCTTGCTAAGAAAGTTTATAAAATGTGGGCAAGTAATACCAGGTCTCTGAGCCTCTTTTCTTTGTATGTAAACCAGGGAAATGATGCCAACCTCGTATCACAGTTTAAATGAGGACACGTATTAAGTGCTAGCTTAATGTCCACCATGTAATAGGGGCTTGAGAAGTTTCCTTTCCAGCCTTTTCATATACTGAAGTCAGTTTTTTGCTTCTTCTCAATAAATTTTCCTTTTATCCTCTTGATCATTTTAGTTGCCCTTTTCCTTTATGTTGCAAGGAGAATCAATGGAAGCACCAAAGTGTTCCAAATATTGATCTGTCGTGAATTTGTACAAAGTAGAGTATTTTTCCTTTCTTATCTTGTAATGCTTTGATGACTTAAAACTCCTTATTGGCATTCTCTGATCTGGAGTGGCCCATAAGGCACTATCCTACATACCTATATTAATTGCCTTATGGTTTCCAGTTCCCAATTACAAGACTCCTTTCATCTATAGTCTAAGCCAGTGCTTGTTCAATATAACTTTCTGTAATGATGGAAATGTTCAATTCTGAGCTGTCTGATACAGTGGCCACTAGCAACAGGTGTCTATTGAGTACTTAAAATACAGCTAGTGTAACTAAGGAACTGAACTATTAATTTAATTTTAACTAATTTAAATAGCCACATGGAGCTTGTAGCTGCCGCAATGGATAGCACAGGTGTAACCTACCACAGGTTCACCAGTTCAAACTAAGACCAAAATGCTAGCTGGAAATTCTGTCAATTCACCATTACCTAACTTCCATTCCCTTCTTAGAATGATTGCCCCCAAACATTCCAAGCAACCATGATCCTCTCCATGATGGGCAATCCCAGATCTTGTTTAAATTGAAAAGCCTTTACTTAGTAACAATCATAAATACCGTGCTACTAAATAGCTACAATGGTTAATTCTTACTGAGGTGTTAGGTATTGTACATACCACTTTACCTAATGTGTGGCATTAAACGTTTTCACCAGCTAAGTCAACCAATTAATCCTTAGAGAACCTCTGGTGGCCAAGTATGAGGTTTTCCATTGGTGTTTAATGGCTGTTCCCAAAGTGTGAGCAGCAATGTGTTGCTTTATTACAGGGGCTACAGGGTATGCTGGAACGAGGAGATAACAGACCATGATCACAGTCCATGTTTCCACTGCCCGTCAGGAAGTATCACGGTTGCTTAGAACGTTTGGGGGCAATTATTCTAAGAAGGGAATGGAAGTTAGATAGTGGTGAATTGACAGAATTTCCAGCTAGCATTTTGGTCTTAGTTTGAACTGGTGAACCTGTGGTAGGTTACACCTGTGCTATTCCATTGCGGCAGCTACGAGCTCCATGTAGCTATTTAAATCGGGGTTTAGCTTCTGTAAATGTTAAACATTTTTTCCCAATGTCTTCACCAGCCGATCCACTAAACAGGCTTTGGGTGGGCTGCCATTCATCAGATATGACAGTATTTTAGAAATAACTATTAGCATTTACTGTCTACACGTGGAAAACTGTAGCAAAGAAAGGTCAATCAAAAAGTGTGCCCAAGGACATGAGGTAAAGTGAGATTAGGACTGAAAAACCCTTCCACCAAGTGAAGACCAGGGGTCCTGCCAGTGTGCGGGGCGAGGAGAAGGTCTATGACGTCCCCGCAAGGAAACCTGAGCAGGCAGAAAAGTCCCATAGCCCCGAGGTGGACCATTTGGACTTTTCATGCTCAGCAAAAAGACGACCACCATAACACACAAACCCCGCAAATCATACCCAAAAGCCCTCACGCTATGACTCCTCTGCTCTTCGCACCTATGGGCGGGCAAACACCATTATTCTAGGGAAAGAGGTGGGTTAGAGACCTCGCCTCACTTTTCCGCGCTACCAAACACCCCGGATGGCGTCTCCGGCAACTAGAAACCAGAGGTATGTCCTCTCTCTTGAGAGCCCATCGCTCCCTTCACTCAAGGAAGAGTCCCCAGGGGCCTCAGGAAGCAGCCCCACGAACGGCAGCAGCACCCACCTGCCAACGCGGGCGCAGGCACAAGCCTCCTCCGCGCCAGGAACACCGCGAACCGCTCCATGGGGAACGCCATCTTGGAGCATACCAAGGGAACGCGGGCGGGGGGAGTTTGAGGGCCGGAAGGGGCGGGTCCGAGGAAGGGGCGGGTCCCAGTCAGGCCACCCCCATCCCCACCCCACCCCCCGCCGCCCCGGGACTTGGTGCGGTCCGGCAGCATGGCCGCCGCGTGGAGGCGGTGCTCCGCGCTGTTGCGGGCCCTGCGCAGCCCGGTGCGTCCCGGGGCGGGGGACTCGGGCCCCGCCTGCTCCGGCTGCCCCCTCGGAGGTACCGGGCGGGCCGGGAATGAGAGGGTGGGACAAGGAGCTCGGGCCTCAGCGGCTTTGCCCCGGGCGCTCGCGGGCTCTGCCCTCTGGACGCGGCGGTCCGCGGGGCCCGGGGTCGTGGACACCCGTGCACCTGGGAAGCAGAGGACGGAGCGCGGGGCTCGACCTGGGCCGCGGGATCCCTGGACACCCCTTTCCGGTGCACCCCTCTGCGGGAGTCGAGTCCGGCTCCGCAGGACCCGGGGCAGGTGTCCTCCTTAAGAAATTAGCCTAACGTTTTCATGACAGTGCTTGTGCATGGTAGTAAAACACCCTGCACGTGCGGGCCTCACTCTGATGCACTTTACAGACATTAATTCCTTTTCTCCGCACCACACCAATGAGAGGTACTCTTTTCTTCTCTGCAGAGGGGAAAACTGCAAGATGAAGATTTGCCCAAGGTAACAGGGCGCCGGGAGAGGAGGGGGCTGAACCCAGGCGACCACAGTTGAGCCCCGTGTAACCACTCCTCTGGACGCCCTCCATAAAGAAGGGGCAGTTTTTCTTGTCTCCTTGTTACTGGGGTACACAGAGCCCTTTTAGTGCACGATTCTTTGGCCAAGCTCCACTCCGTGCACAGCAAGCATCCTAAAGAAATGGTGATGTTCCCCAAACTCCTCTTCTCTCCCAAATCGTGGTCGGTGATTTCTGATGGATCGTGAGGATTCCTAGAGTCCACCTCTGAGAGGCCAGGACTCCTCGTTTCACAGAAGGTGAAACTGGGAGTTCCAGGGGTCACACCACACCTTTTTCATTCCACTGGATGCTTCTACCTAGATAAACCAAAACTAGATATGCCTGCTTTGCATTTCAACAGTAGCCTTTACTTGTTTTCCTCAATTCCCTTAGCCGAATGATGCATGTGTGTCTTTCAGATCCCAGCTTCCTGTCAGCCCATCTTCATACACAGTTAACTACCAGCTCCTTGCACACACACACAGAACTTGTCTTGCTGAGGATTTGCGTTCTCTGGTAGTTTGCAGATGCTTTTCCCGCCAGGAGGACTGTCACATTTGTACCCGTCTAGATGGATTGTTTATACTAGATGAAGATAAAGTCAGTTATTAGAGGCAGTCAAGCTGTATTCATGTTATTTGCTAAGTATAAAACAGTCAAATGATTTTTTTTCTTTCTTTGATTTTTAGCTAAAAGATATCTGCTTACAGATAGTGTTGTGAAATTAAAAGAATTTCAGCATAAGAAGGTGGCTATTGCATATAATCTTCCCGGCACCAAAGGTAACTGAATCTATTTTGTTAATTCTTTCATTGATCTGTCATTCAGGTTTCCTGTCTTCATTCCCATTCGGTCTCTCCTTCGAGGACCTTGTCTCAGGAAAAATTGAGATGATTTATTCCTAGTCTATCCTTTCACACAGTTTCAACTCACTCTCTGCTACTCACAGAGTCTACTGCTCTGTTCTTACCCCTTCTCCCAGCATCCCAGAGAAATACTAAAATACTGCCGCAACCGGTCCTCTCTGAATCCATGCTACTCAAAGTAGGGTTCACGGATCAGCAGCAACTGGGAGGTTGATAAAGATGCCAGATCTCAGGCCCCAGGTGATTCTGATGCACAGTAAAGTCTGAGAAGAGCTGCTCCAGATGCCTGGCTTTCAAACTTTTTGATGCGACCCTCAGGAAAAAATACATTTTACATCGCGTCTCCAGTACACACATACATAACTATATAGAAATGAAATGAAATGAAACAGAGCAGTGCTATGCGTGCTGATACGTTTTCATGTTTTCTCCTCTGTGCTGGAAAAGTCAGTAGGCTCAAACAAAGATTTCTTTAAAAAATTAGCAAAGTATTGATAATTTTTAAGGCAGAGTGATGGGCACATGGGAGGTCATTATACTGTTCTCATTGCTTTTGGGTATGTTTGAAAATTTTTATTATAAAAAGCTAACAACACACCACCACCAGCCTAGGTCCTATTCCCTTTCAGCATCTGGGCAATCTTGTTGCGTTCATTCCCTCTCTCCAGCACATGTGTTTTTCCTGGTTCTTCCCCCTCCTTTACAAGCACAGCAAGAGTGTCCTCTCTTTTAGTAACTCTTGTTTGTCTCTGTTGGCTTTTCACCCTCCTTCCTCTCGGTGTTGGATGAGCGCCTGGCTGAAACGTCTTCTTCCGCTCACTCACAGCCCAGCCCTCCAGAGCGGTCTTCCCCACTGCTCTGCTACCCATACTGTTGCGTCGTACCACCTATGGGGCAAGAAGAGAAATCTCAGGAGTGGGGCTGTTGTTGTTAGTGCTGTGGACTCAATCTGACTTCTAACGACCCTGTGTCCGGCAGAGCAGAGCCCTGCCTGGTCTTTCTGCGCCATCCCCTCACCGGAAGGTGCTCCGTCAGACAATTCCCTGCTGCTGTTCACGGGGTTTTCATGGCCAATCTTTTTGGAAGTGGGTGGCCAGGTCCTCCTTCCTAGTCTCTGTACTCTGGAAGCTTCACTGACGCCTGTCTGCTATGGGTGACCCTGCTGGTATTTGAAATCCCGGTGGCATAGCTTTCAGCATCACAGCAACATGCAGCCACCACAGTGTGACAGCCGACAGGTGGGTGGTGTGGCTCCCTGACTGAGAAACAAACCCGGCCACAACTAGTTGTAAGAGCGCCGATCTTAACCACTAGACCCCCAAGAGTGGGGGAGACTGTATTAATCTCCAGTTTAGTCGACTCAATCTAGATTTTCCTTCTGCCTCAGGTCTGTTGAGCTCTGTGAAGTTGGCAGAGTTAGGGCTCCATATCATTGTGTAGTTGTTATTTCTAATTGTCGTAGTCTTTTTAAGGCTGTGACAGTTGTGCGTATGTTCTGAAGGCAGTGAATATAATGAGTGTCAATGGACTCCATGTCACATTGGTATTTATGAAATCCCGTCAACGTTTCATCATTATGAGAACCCACAGTGGTACTGGTTGTACACCACGTCATGTGCAAACTCACCCCCCGGCCTGCTCGGTCTGCCATCGTGGACCTTACCCTGTCTGTAATGCGGTTTCCTATGAATCTGCTCGTAGTTCTGCCCTCACCACCTTTCTCCCGGAATTCTGTGCTGTTCCTTGTGCTGATTCCCACAGCCAGAGAATAGAGCGAGTGCTCACCGCTCTTCTCAGTTTCTCCAGCCCTGTCCGGCCCCTTCCTTCCTCTAGTACCGCTCCGCTTCCACCGCCCTGATTGCTCTCTCCTACAGTCAGTCACGTGGAACATGCTTCACCATTGTTTTCACTTAGCTCTGTGGAAATATATCTTGTCTTGTCAAGTAGACACGAAGCGCTTTCAGGACAGGGACCATACCTTGGCCCTCCTTGTGTCTCACACTGGAAGGATGTGAATAAATGATAAGCCCTTAAATCTTGACTAATTTGTTTTAAAATACAGATTATGTCTGTTGAAATTTTGGATTCTTAAGGTTTATTAAGAAGCGTTAAGAAGGACAAGGTGTAAATTTAGCCCATCGAAATCTTTTAGATTGGAAATTCTTTATAAATATTTAATAGAATAAATCCTCTTAAATCTGACATGTGACAGAGTGAATGAGAATGAGAACAGTGTGGTCTGTGACTTACTGGCGGTTGCTGTCTGCTCGGCCTGTGCTGTGTTATCTCAGGATGACCCCAGGAGGTTGGTCTCTTGATCCCCACTGTACACGTGAGGCGTCACGTCTCACAGACAGGGGTCTCCATAGCATGCAAGTGGCAGAGCCCAGATTTCAGCCCAGGTCCTTCCATCTCTACAACCTTCAGCCATGGTGTGGTTCTGCAGATAAAGATCGGAGCATGCGCTGCCTTCGCTCAGACCTGGGGGGGCCTTCTTTTCTCTTAAATCGAGAGCAGTGTCTGCCTCAGCTTCCTGATCTTGTGTTTTTAGTGTATATTATACCACTCCTTTCAACAGAATTTCTTCAAAGCTCTGAGCCTTGGAGCAAATCCTGTAGACTTTTCCTGGCAGCTTCTGATACTGAGAACAGCCTGCCTTCTGGAAAGCAGATGCTTGCTGGTGCCTGCCTTGCGTCTCACCCCGATTCTGGCGAGAATACAGTCCCTTCCTGACGCCAGGAAGCAGGGTTTCCTCCCGGTGTTTGACTGTCAGCACAGTTGGTCAGACACAAAGACCCGGGATGGAGATGGACTGATCACCTTGAGGTGATGCTGTTCCTGAAGGAGCGTGTGCTGCTGTCTAGAGGACTGAGTTTTGCCCCCGTGCATTCTGTAGTGCTGTGGTGTGCTTCTAATAGCCGCGTAGAGAGACCAAGAGGAGTGAAGAGAGGTGAAGTCGAGTCAGTGAGAGACGTGCACTGTTCCCGAATCCTGTGAGTTAACCGCGTGGGTAAACCATCTTCAGTCCAGTCCTTCCTTCTGGTTTTCCTGCTGGGTGCCCTGCCACTGGATGGCTTGGGTATCTTGGTTACGTTTTCTTTCTTTATTTTTCCCATGTGTCACTTTAGATCCAGTTCTGTGGGCTAAGCCTCTGGGACATTAGTTCTCGAACTTGAGTGTGTGTAAAGATCACCCAGGTAGTCAAAATGCATTTTCTTCTGCTCCTGCTCCCAGAAATTCTATATCAAAAGGTGTTGAGTGGGGGCTGGGCCTGTGCCCCTCTGACGCAGGTGCTGTGCGTCCTGCCCCCCTCCCACCCTCTGCTCTGGAGGAGACCAGCCAGTGATGGGAGCTGCCTGGCCGGGAGCCCCTCTTGGGGCCCCTGTGTGGTGTGCCAGGTCCTGTCTTGCCTGGAGCTCAGACTCTGGCAGCCCCAGTCAGCCTGAGTGGTGGCCTCCACACTGTGCTTTCTTCCAGAATCCTATCTGAGAGACTTGCAAGAGAAGTTGACCCAGAACAAGCTCATCTTGAAGGAGGAGTTGAGAACTCTGCTTCATTTATGCAATTCCCGGGACGATGTGGAGCTGGCTAAAAATGTCATTTACAGGTGAGGCATTTCCCTAGAGCTCTGTTAGCTGTCCTCTCTTCTTGCTCTCTTCCTTTTCCCGAGCATCATATCCACTTCCAGGATGTCAGCTGTCACCTATACACTGATGACTTCTGAATCTCCTGTTCAGATGCCTGCCCTGATCTCCAGACGTTTATGTCCGTTCACTGAGCAGACACTGGGTTCCTGCCACGTGCCAGGTGCCGAGGATGAAAAGGAGATATTTGTCCCCCAAGAACTCACCAGCCTGTTCACTAACTCCGCTTCTATGTCCCATAGGGCTTCACACTCAGCTTGCACAAGTTCTTCCTGTGTTTTCTGTCACATTGGCCAGTCGCTCAGGACAGACGCCTGGGAGCCTCTTGCCCCTGACTTCATTTGCTCTCCTCTCTGACGGTTGAGAAACCCATCTGCATCCTCTTCCCTGGTGTCGCGTCTCCAGCCCCATTACCAGTCTTAGTTCAGGCCTCAGTGTCTCTCGCTGGGCTCCTCGTGTCCTCCCTCCAGGCTTGTGCCTGTTGTGTACCCTTGTCTCCGATCCCTGGTGGGAGTGTCCCATGTCAGAAGGAACTCAGGTGGACTCTTAGTCTGCTCTTAGGGAACCAGCAAAGGTTCTCCGTGAGAGTGTGACACCACACCAGCAGGCTGAATTTCTGAAGTTAAGTTCGTTGCTCCTTTTTACCATTCTTTAAAGATCCATTTCTGTACATGGACCTGCATTTATATTGAATGTTTATGTATAGACATTGGAAGAATGTATACCAAAAGTTACCCGTGGTTCTCTGGGAATTATACATTGTATTTTTTTTTTGTCTAAATATGTACTTTTCTGATTTCTCAAACTTGTCTTTATTGGACATTATCAATTTTATAATGTGAAAAAATAATGTTATTTTTAAAAAGGAAGAGAAAAAACAAAATCACACAAAATTCGTTGAAAATACGAAAAACACCAAAAAAACGGAAGAAATATATCACAAATTCTGCTGTTACCGTTGTCTCTTGCTGTGTAACAAACCGCACTAGAACTTAAGACCACCACCATTTCTTGTTCCTCACACTTCTGTGGGTTAGGAATTGCGGCCCATCTCAGCTGGCCAGTTCTTTGTTGCTGTTGGCTGAAGGCTCACCTGCAGTCTGCTGGTGGCTGGGCTGGGCGGTCCGAGCAGGCTGTGCTTGCGTTTCTGATGCCTCAGTGCCCCTCCGCGTGGCCCCCTCTCCATGTGGTGGTTCATGAGTCTGGGAGCTGCACTAGCCCACAGCACAGGTAGAAGCAGCAGGCGCCATGGGGCCTCCAGAACTGGAATAGCTTCACCTCTGGTGCATTCTCTCAGCGAGCGCAGGTTACCCGGCCAGCCCAGATTCAAGGGGAGGGAAGGGATGCCACCGCTGCATGGATGGAGCAGCACGCACATCCAGAAAGGAGAGGAGTTGATGGCGCTGTCTTTGGGGCCGATCTACCACCTCAAAGAAACCACTGTTAATATTTTCATATGTTTTCACACTGATTTTTTTCACACACAGATTTTGTGATTTCAGTAGGGTTTATTTTACATGTTGTAATTTTTACTGTATATAGAGTGATATTTTCTTGTTTTCTAAATTAGTATAGCATAAATGTTTTTTTCTTGTTAACATACACTTAGGAATCATATTTTAATGGCTATACAAGATTCCATTGTGTTTTAGGTATTTTAATTAACTGTGCCCCATTGTTGAATATCTAAATCATTTCTAATTTTTCCCCAGTATAAATAATGCCATGATGAGTGACTCTATGCGTAAAACTTATTCTTTATTTCCTGTTAGGGATGAGAGGGTGTGAACCATCCAAAGCTTGTCCGTACAGAGTGCCAGATTATCTTCCCAAGGGTTGCACCGATTTACGGCCACACTGTCAGCAAACCCAGCTCTGCTCCTTCCGTTTCACTAAGTTGAGTCACTTGAGACCCTGTGGCTGTTTTATTCTCAATCTTTTTGGTACCCAAAGCCGTCAAATGTTTACAAAAGTAACAAAACAGGATAAAATTCTGAACACTCTTTCCAGTCTTATTTTTTATCATAAACATTCAGAGTATGAGTCACAGTTCCTTTATTGATGCTGATGACTCTGCCCAGTTGCTCTCCTTTCCCTTGACGTGCGGGCAGCTGGACAAGTGGGAAGATGGCGGGTCCACGGCCTCACCAGCCTGTCCTCCCCTCCTGAGACGCGTGCCCGCGCTGGGGAAGAGGAGCAGTGAGCTGCAACAGAAGCTCTTCATTGAGCCAAAACGAAGAGCGGCTTATTCCCCTCAAGCCCCTGACCACGTGCTGTGGTTTGGTTTGTAGGGGGATTTCAGACCCTCTGACCTGAGCATTTCTTGTCAAGAAGGTGACACATTATCTCTGACTTCTTAGCACTTGTATTGGTGTGAATGTCATTTAAACTGGGAAAGCTTTTGTTTTGTCTTTAATCCGGTGCAAGTTTCTCATAAGACTATTTACTGAAATATATTGATTTTATTTATTTATTTATTTTTTTAAGATTGGCACCTGAGCTAACAACTGTTGCCAATCTTCTTTTTTTTTTTTTTCTGCTTTTTCTCCCCCAATCCCTTCAGTACATAGTTGCATATTTTAGTTGTGGGTCCTTCTAGTTGTGGCCCGATGAACGGTGCCATCCCCCCACCCCTTTCCTCCGTTCCCCTCCAGCTGGGGTCCATGTGAAGAGACAGTGCCACTCCCGTGGGCTGACAGATGCCAGAGCCCTGCTGTGCCTGACAGTGCCTCACATTCAGTCCTGGGGGTTCTTGTTAAATTGAGAAGATGATTGCCATGTACATTTTTTCCTCTTTTATTTCACAGGGTATGTGGGCTTCCAACAAAACCTGTTCGTTTATTTATAATTCTGCCTTCCAGGATTCCTGATATCCTCAGTTCTGCACTTCCCCTCCAGACCTGGAGAGGGCCTCGTTGTGGTGTCCCCAACACCTAGGAGAGCACATGCCCTGGTCTGTCTGTCCTTTCCCATGTCCTGCTGTTTGGCTCACTGAATTGTTTCGGTTGCCAGGTACCACGCGGAGAATAGAAATGTCACCTTGGGGGAGTATAAGTTTGGACCGCTCTTCATGAGGTTGTGCTACGAGCTGGATCTTGAGGAGTCTGCAGTGGAGCTCGTCCAAGACCAGGTTGCTGTCCTGATTGCTCTCCGTGCTGCTGAGGGTGGGCGTTTGGGGATGTCAGGACAGGCAGCTCCCTCCACATGTTGTCAGAGACCGTGAGTGAATGAGCTCTCCTCGCGTTTGTAAGGCATCCTTGGAGAAGCGCCTCTGGAGGAGTAGGTTTCTGTACAGGGCGTGGGGCGGTTGTGGAGGACGGGGAGGCATGGTTTCTCTGGGACTGACAGCCTCTCTTTGGAGGAGCTTTCGTGGGGTGGTTAGGACAGGCTGCTGTTCTGTCTTTAACATCCCTCACCTGCGTTTCTCTCCTGTTTTTGTATTTTTACTTCTGGTTGAAGGCTACATTGTAAATTGCTTTTCCATTTTCACAACACTTTGACTGGGGCCGGCCCCATGGCTGAATGGTTAAGTTCGAGCATTCTACTTCAGTGGCCTGGGGTTCGTCGGTTCAGATCCTGGGTGTGGACCTACACACAGCTCATCAAGCCATGCTGTGGTGGCATCCCACATAGAAGAACTAGAGTGACTGCAACTAGGATAAACAACTATGTGCTGGGGCTTTGGGGAGAAAAAAAAAAAGAGGAAGATTGGCAACAGATGTTAGCTCAGGGCCAATCTTCCTCACCAAAAAAAAATAACAAACAAAAAAACCCCAAAAACTTTCACATATTCTGATTTTATTTTCCTGAAGACAGAAACAACAGTGATTACTTTTGTAGTTATCTGTTGAATACTCACCGTGTCCTCAGCATTGCTCCAGCACCATACAAGCTCCATTTCATTTGTTTCCCACAATAGCCCTGGGGAGGTGGACACTATCATCATTTCCATTTTACAGAGAGGAAACCGGGACGCAGAGACATTGTAAATTCATCGGTGGGCAGAAACAGCTGTTAGATTTGCGGCCTGGGCTGGCCACCAGGGACAGTCTGCTAGTTTTAGGAACCTCCATAACTAAGTTGTCCTTCCGCCTCTTACTGTTTCCATATGAAGTGCGCCGTCCGTGGTGGAGTGGTTAACCCCCGGCTGGCCCCTCTTTTAAGGACACTTATGCATTAGAAGGATGCCGTAATTTAGAAGGCAGAGGAAGATGGTTTCCGAACAGTACGGGTTAGTTTGAGACTATTTTTCTAAAAGAAGAAATGTACACGCATATTCACATTTTAGTCTGCTCTATGTGTGTTAAAGACCTGGAAGGACAGGCACTAAGCTACTGTTTGTCTTTAGGGGGCAGAATTATAGGAAATTCTCACTTTTTACTTTACACATTTTTCTATTGTTGGTTTTATATTAAGCATTTGCTAACGTTGTGATTAAAAGAAAATGAAAGTTTTACTATAATAAGTCATAGCTGTGAGTATAATGATAAAAAACAAACAAATGAAAAGAAAGGAAAAGAACGTAAAGTTCTGATGTTTTTTTGACCTACCTGTGTATGAATCATTCGTGCATGAGCAGGTTCCTGGGGAGCAGGATAAACTGAATTGGAGTCACGTGACCTGGAGCCTGGTCCTGCTTCCACCCTCACACGTTGGGGCCCCAGAGCCTGTAGTCCTGCCAGGATGGGAGCCTGGGGCCACGCAGATCTGTACCGTGGCTGGTTCAGATTTTACATGTGCTGCGCACGTGAAATACATGATGGGTTTTGAATACTTGGAAGAGAAAAAAGAATGTAAAGCACCTTAGTAATTTTGTATTGATTACATGATGAAATTATATTTTGGATTTAGTAGATTAAATAACATATTATTAAAACTGATTTCATGAATTTCTTTTGCTTTTTTTTTTTTTCCTTTTTCTCCCCAAAGCCCCCCAGTACATAGTTGTATATTCTTCCTTGTGGGTCCTTCTAGTTGTGGCATGTGGGACGCTGCCTCAGCGTGGTTTGATGAGCAGTGCCATGTCCGCACCCAGGATTCGAACCAATGAAACACTGGGCCGCCTGCAGCGGAGCGGGCAAACTTAACCACTCGGCCACGGGGCCAGCCCCTCTTCTACTTTTTTTAATGAGGCTGCTTGAAAAGAATCACATACGTAGCTTGCACTTCTGGCTTGCAGTATCTTCCTATGCACAGGGCTGGGCTGGTGGTTTCCCATCACACGTAGACCATAACTCAGACCCCAAGCGTGCCCCAGGGGGCCTTGGTGTTCTCTCATGTCCTGCCCTTCTCCCCGCTCGCTGCCCTCTGGACCTGCTTATTCTTCCCGGACATGCCAAGCCCCCAGACCAGTCTGTACCCTCATCATCGAGGCTTTCTCCTTTACTGCACTGAGGGCCAGTCTTCTCAGAGAGCCTTCCCTGACCCCCTTCCAGCATCTTCTCTGTCCCTTTATCCTGTTTCATTGTTCTTCATAGCCCTTATTGGTACTTGCAGTTGTATTTTTTCACTTGTTCGTTGTCTCCGCTGGCAGAGCTGGCGCTCCACTAGCTTGTAAGTCCCCAGAGCTCCAGGCGGGTGTGCGTCGTCTTCCTCATTCCTGTTCTCAGCCAGAGAGCAGGGCCCGCATAGAGGGCTCTTAGGAAAGAGCACGCTGGAGCAAGGCGGACAAGGTGTTTGGGCAGCGCATGTCACGTTTTCATGGCGTTAGGAATGCTGAGAAAAAGTGTTGAGAGCTACTGTTTTAGTGAATTATTTCGGAAAGTGAATAATCAGCTTTGTCTTATTCGTTTGTCAAAAGAGGATCTTAGTTGTGTGAGGCTGTCCTGCCTTCGTCCTCAAGCGTACTTAGAGCTGCTGTTTCATGTTAACGTGCTGCCACCCCGGTTCCAGAACCACTGCCGGCAGGGGTAATGGGCCTGTTTCTTCTCTCCTAAGCATGAAGCAGCCACATTTCATGAAGACGCCCTTTGCTGTGTTTCTGCAACCCAGTGACCTCTTGCCTCTTGTTCAGTGTGCCCATTGCTGGAGGCGCGACAGCTGGGAGAGGGGGCAGCATTTGGACTTGTTTTGAAAAATAAATCTTTGGTATATCAGAGATTTATTAGAGAATTCAGGAGGCCACATGAATAAAGTATTCACAAAAATAAGTGCTGGACAGATAAGATGCAGTATAATGATAAATACCCCCTTAATAGTTTTAACTTTTAACCCACTGTATTGTTTTCCTTCATTAGCATTTACGAGGTTTCTTCTCAGACTGCACGTCATTCAACCTTTTGATGGATATGTTATTTATCAAAGGCAAATATAAAAGTAAGTATTGCAGTTTATGTATGCTGAAAGATTCTGCTGTCTTTGTTGGTGTAGCAATTAGGAAAAACAATGGACCAAGCAAATAGGATCCTTATATTCCTGAGGAGCAGCCAAATTATGGAGACTTCATTCTTTCAGTGTGAAAATACTGTCGCATCGCATGTCATGCCTTAAAGTAAACACCCCAGATGGTACTTATGCTGAAAATAGAATGTTTTAAAATATTCGTTCTTCCTGTATGACCTGATAATTTATTTTGAAATTTAGTTAATTGCTAAATGACTTTGACAGATAGCTTTTATTGTGCTGAAATGCAGTTTTCAGTAGATGGTGCTGAACGGATTAGAACTCTGGGGGTCCATGGTGGAGGACCCTAAACTCACTTGAACACACTTAACACCGCTGCCCCGCGCCTCACTTTGGCAGGTGCACTGGAAGTGTTGATTGAGATGAAAAACCAGGACGTGAAGTTCAGCAGAGACACCTACGTCCTTGCTTTTGCCGTTTGCTACAAACTGGTAAGACTTCTTCCCTTAACTTTCAGAGCGTTGTGGATAAGGTTTGAGAGAGGATTTATTTTTTCTCTCCAGATAAAGTTGAGTTCCTATGAAGTGTGTTTTCCATCTGGTGCAGATATTTCCAGTTTAAATGTGTTCGTTTTTAGAAGACTCAAGTTAGCCATGTGAGACAGTTCTACCGTGGGAAAACCAGTTTTGTCATCTTCCAGCCGTCTCTGGCAGTTGCGTAGACAGTGAGAATGAGAAACAGTGGGCTGGGTTGAGCTCTGCCTTAGAGTCGTCTTGCCACCGGGCTCGTGCTGGGCTCCGCTTGACCAGCCTGCTTGGCGGCCCTCTCCCTTGGGAGTCTTCCCATCCTCATTAGTGGACTGCAGGCTGCTTCTCATCCTCTGTGAATTTCTCTGCTTGCTAAGTGGGAAGCGACGTCCCTCCTCCAGTGTCTCCTGACAGTGCTCCATTCGTGTCACCCGCAAGCACTCCCAACACTGCCTGGTGCTGCGCTAAGAGAGGCACGTGCCATCCTCGCCTCGAGAGGGCAGGTCCTCATAGGCCAGCGCCCGACAGAGCCTGGCACACAGCTGACCTTTAATAAATGTATGTGACGTTAATGGGAGCTCTTTGAGGACAGAGAGCACAACTTAAAAGTCCCTGTGTCGTTTCTGTACCAAGATACTTTCTTGCACATAGAAACTGTTTCTTCATTATTTGTTGAATGAATGAATGGTAACTGAATATGCAGCGACCAAGGTTCCATGCATTACTGTAGTCATTCACACCATTTAAACTTTAGAAACTTCATAAAACCTTTGTGTGCTGAAAATGAAAGAACGCCAAGCAAGCTAGAAGAACATGGGCCATCCAAAAACTTCCCTAAAAAGTATAGCAATGCCAATTTTCCAAAGCACTAGAGGCAGGTGGCTTACAGTCGAAAGAAAACCAACCCAGAAGTTGAGAAACTCGGAATCTGGTCTCAACTTGACCAGTAGCTGGCTTTGGGGCGGCCATTCACCTCACTGGTGAGGTGAAGGAGTTGAGTGTAACTGGCTTTGGGGTGCCACTCACCTCACTGGTTAGGTGAAGGAGTTGAGTGTAACTGACTTTGGGGCGGGCACTCACCTCACTGGTGAGGTGAAGGAGTTGAGCGGTAACTGGCTTTGGGGCGGGCACTCACCTCACTGGTGAGGTGAAGGAGTTGGATTCAGGAGCAGCAGGCTTTTTCTGTAAAAAGCCAGACAGTAAATATTTTAGGCTGTGGGGCCACATTACAGTCTCTGCCACATATTCTTCTTTGTTTTTGTTTTTATAAACTTTTAAAAGCGCACAAACCATTTTTAGCCACAGGCTGGATTTGGCCTGCAGTCAGAGTTTGCTGAACGCTGCCTTGTTAGATGAGCCTTTCCAGTCGTACCGTTTTATGATTCTGAGAAACAGGCGGCCAGCGAAACGCGCAGCGCTCCAGCCTCAGTCGCTCGGCATTGTGATCCATGCGGATTTCCTGACCTTGCTGGAGATGCCTCCCTGAGTGTGCACTGGAGAGACTGAATTCTCTTACTTAGGAAGGGCTTTTTCTCCCCTGTGTCATGTCCAAGAAGAACTTGTTCTCAGTGGAGACTGGAGTTGGAAATTGAACTGGTTGGCTCTTACACATTCCAAGCCAATTCTGGGAACTGTCCTCGCTCATCAAATTCAGCTTTTACAGCTTTTACTTTAGGATTTGAGTGGTGACTCACGTCATGAGAGTGATGCGCAGATGCAGAGCTGATGCTGCCCTCGTGACCTAGCGCCCCTACCCCACGTACAGAGGAAGAGGGTTCAGCTTTACCATTGCTGTCTGCTGCTTTGTGTGTCACTCACCTTCCTGGATTTTTTTTAAGGTTTCTGTTTTCACGGAATCCTTTCAGGATTTGCGTTCCAATAAGTATTCACGTCTTCAGATATGTGACTTCCATAGATATTTAGATTGGAGATGCCCTCAGGAAGAGTTCTGTGGTGCTGCCGAGCTTTCCTCTACCATTTCATGGAGTCGCAGGCTGACTGCACTTTGATGTTACGGTCCCTGTGTCTAGAAACCAGCCTGCCCGGACACAAAGACACCTGTGTGTTTGCTCGTAGATCTGCCCCAAGTCAGAAAGTTGGCAAAGAACTTTAAAAATAAAGTTAAATTTAGATTCGAGCTGCTAATGAGTAGATAACTTGGTCTGTTTGCAAATAGTCTCGATAGGGGGCTTAATCTTAGAAGTGGCTTGAGGTAGGGTCTGGGAAATTCTTCCAAAAGGAAATCTGACATACTGAGCACTGTTTGTCATTTTATTAAACTTAAACATTCGTGTCATGTATTTACTGAGCCATCCTATCTCCTCCCAGAATAGCCCTGAGTCCTTCAGAATCTGCACCACGTTGAGGGAAGAAGCGCTCCTCAAGGGAGATGTCCTGTCCAGGAGAGCATCCTGTTTCGCCGTGGCGCTGGCTCTGAGTCAGGTAAGGCTTGGAGGCGGTCCTTGAACGGGGCGTGGCAGGGCTTTACTGCTTTCGTCTGTTCTGGCTTTATTTTACTTCTTTTCCTTCTGACTGTGTCATAAAGAAAAGTCCCACAAGGAGACCAGTGCCTCTGGTGCCATGCAACCTGCACCCGTCCCTGAGCCTCTAGAGAGTGTGTGCAGTTACAGGGGAGGACCCGGCGTGCGTGCTGTGTAGAAGGGGCTGGCCAGGATCCAGTGGAGGATCAGTGAGGGCAGCTGCGCCCTGGGAGACATTCTCCAGTAATTCAAGTGGAAATTTCATGATGGGTTTACTATGCAGCATCTCAGAGAGCACTTTAGTTGACTAAGCTGACTTCGCCTCAGCTGAGTGACGACTCCTGGGTCAGCCCATTGTAGAAGGGGGTCTGCCACATCCGTCATCAGCCCGTTGTAGAAGTGGGGTCTGCCACGTCCGTCATCAGCCCGTTGTAGAAGTGGGGTCCACCACGTCTGTCATCAGCCCGTTGTAGAAGTGGGGTCCACCACGTCCGTCATCAGCCCATTGTAGAAGTGGGGTCTGCCACGTCTGTCATCAGCCCATTGTAGAAGTGGGGTCTGCCACGTCCGTCATCAGCCCGTTGTAGAAGTGGGGTCTGCCACGTCTGTCATCAGCCCGTTGTAGAAGTGGGGTCTGCCACGTCCGTCATCAGCCCATTTAGAAGTGGGGTCTGCCACGTCCGTCATCTGCCCATTTAGAAGTGGGGTCCACCATGTCCGTCATCAGCCCGTCGTAGAAGTGGGGTCCACCACGTCCGTCATCAGCCCGTCGTAGAAGTGGGGTCCACCACGTCTGTCATCAGCCCATTGTAGAAGTGGGGTCTGCCACGTCTGTCATCAGCCCGTTTAGAAGTGGCGTCTGCCACGTCCGTCATCGTTAGACCAAATCCTTTTGTTTGGAAGTGGCTCAAGCTCTCTTTTAGCCTCCCCTTCTCACTGGATAGATGGAGCCAGCTGTCCACACCTCCGGGAAGGACAGTAGAGCTGGAGCCTGGACACCCCCTTGAAGAGCCCCTCCTAAGCTGTCTGATTCATAGAAAATGTGAAATACTTTACGTGTTTAATATTCAGTAAAAGGAGATTTTGTGGCAGCAAAGATAATAACCAGGCCAGGTTGTTGACCCGGCTGGTAAAATGTGGCTGGAGAATTCTTGTTTATCATTCATTAGAAATGCAAATATCGGGTGATCCATTTCCATAGACTGCTGGGGAAGTCACTGGAGGACAGAGACTGAAGGGGACACTGCTCTGTCCTCCTGGTCTGCCAGAGCCGAGAGGATGAAGGACAGTCTGTTCTTAGGGACGCGTTTCTGCTTCTCGCTGTAGCTCCCGTGGTTTTTCCTTCCTGCTGTTTGGTGTATTTCACGTGTACATTTGGTGCGTGGATGTGTTGTAACTTAAACCGCCATGACAAACCTCCCTGGGGCGTTGTCAGTGCCTGTCTTCTCTCGTTGGTGCCTTTGCCCTGGATGCAGCCTTGTCTGGTTGTAATGCCTCCTCCTGTCTTGGGTGGTTCCCTGTTGGTGGGATTTATGTTTCCAGCATACGCCACTCCTGTCTCTTCTTTGTCGTCATCCTGGATCGTGCAGCTGTCGGCGTAGCCCTGCACGTGCGCAGGTTTGGACTGTGCTGGATGTGCTGCTGGTCCTTCTGTGAGTGTCACCCACCTGTGGGGACGGGACATATGTTTAATCTGAGGTTTCACTTTTGCTTTCTGGTATTGTAACTTTTAAAACAGCTATGCCATGTTTTGGTTTGTATTTTTGCTCTAGTGGCTACTTTAAAACCATAATTTTATTTAATTTTCTTAGTCCTCTAATTCCTTTGATAGTACCTATTAATTCCCTACTGTAAGTAGTGGTGAAATTAGTGTATTTCCTCTTTGGCACTATTTTCCTCCTTTTCTTCCACCCAGTTTTGGTTGATAGGTTATCTTTCGTGGTATTCACTTTTCTCTTAAATATGCTTCTTCTGTCAGCTGTAAGTGACGTTTCTGGCCGAGGTGAGTGAGATGAGGAAGTGGGCCTCCTGTCTCCGCCTGTCCCCCTCTCCCCTCTCTCATGGCCCTCGTTAGTACCGTCACCCGTCCCCGTCCAGGTGTGTGACAGTCACGCTCTGTTCTGCAGCCACAGTCCCCACCACGTTACTGCCGGTTGTTTTGCTCTTATTTTTCCGGTCATCTCTTTGTTGACCAAAGGGTGTCTCTAGTAAATTCTTCAAGGGAGCAGTATTCTCTGAGTTCTTGGTATTTGAAATTATTTGCCTGTTGTTTTGTTACTGGAACTGCAGTTTGGCCAAACATAAAATTTTGAGGTGACATTAGCTTTTCTGAGGTTTTAGCCATTGCTCTCTGTCTTCCAGCATGAATTTTGCCATGGAGAAATCTGAGGTCTGCCTGATTTTTTTTTTCTGATTCTGAATGACTTGATCCTGTTTGTTTTTCTCACTTCTGTTGTGTGTGTCCATACAAACAACCTTCCACTGAAGTTTCTTCATGCGCCAGTGATTTTCTTACTTTGTTGTGCTGTGTTCCTTTTCTGTCTCTCGTTTTTCCTCATAGCATCTTTTTTTTTTTCAGTTTTCTTTTTTTATTTTCCTTTTTCTCCCCAAAGCCCCCCAGTGCATAGTTGTATATTCTTTGTTGTGGGTCCTTCTAGTTGTGGGTCATAGCATCTTTATGTGGATCATGTGCTGGTTCTTTTTTGATTATTCATCATTGAAAAACAAGTTTCTTTTAGACCAGCCACTTGCAGAAGATCCGTGTCAGAGAGAGACCAGGGCTGTGGTGCCGTGTTCTAGGCCAGCAGGAACTTTCTCTGTGTAATGCAGAGTTGTCTACAAATATGTGTGGGCTTGGCCGTTCCCTGGTCCGTGGATGGGTGTGGGTGTGGTTCTCAGCGAGAAGTCTTCTCTGCCGCTGCTGCATGGTGACATAGTGCTTCCTGCAAACGTGGCTGGTCCGTGCGAATCCTCTTTTGGCCTCACTGCTGCCACCAAGGTCCAGAGGCTGCTTGTTACTTGACCTGAACTCTGTTTCCACCACTGTAGGCAGGATGTGGGTTTTGAGACCCCTCACCTGTGAGACCTGCTCTGTGGGCTCTTTCTGAGGTAGGCAACCATGTTTTCCCTCTCTGCTTACTCCAGAACCTACCCATGCGCCATCTCCAGTGTTTTGGTAATGCTTCCACCTCTTCTGTGGTTTCTGGTTTCTGCTATGTTCCAATTATGTCAAAGAAGGGGTTTATGTTTCTGTTTCTCAGTCTTGTTGTTTTTTTAAAGCTCATTCCAGTGGGAGAAGAGGAAATGCCAACTTTATGCCTCCATCTTAAAAACCGGAACTTGGGCAGGTTGTCGAAACATTCAGTAATGTGCTGCTGTGGGAACCATGTTGTAGAATGTTCCTTTTTGATCACCAGATAACTTTTTTTCTCTGTGGACTTCAAAGCCCTGGGCCCCATGAACAAGAGTAACCTGACGTCTTGAAATGATATTTATGAGAGCAGAGTAATGTTCATGACCTGGGTTTGATTTGTTTCTCTTTCTTCTAGAACCAAGTGGCAAAAGCCGTATCCATCTTTTCTCAAATCATGAAGCCAGAAAGCATAATCTGCACTAATTTGAATGTAAGTGACTTCTTCGTGGTTTAAAGTAGGGCTTGAAATGCAATGGGTGAGGTCTGGATTTTTTTTTTGGTCTGTATACAATGACTTCATCTCCCAAAGTTTTCGTCCAATTTATTCACTTATTGAGCTCCGTGTGGAAGTCCCAGTATAGCCCCTGTGAGAAGAGTCAACACTACTGTGCTTCCAGGAGTTTATAAATAGGTGGGAACGTAGATATGCCCGGATATCAGACGTGGCTACGTGCTGCAGGTATAGTGCATGACTACAGAAGGTGTAGAGGCAGAGAGAGGGGAGGTGGGCTCTCAGTCTCTGACTGAGACCTGAGAAAAACCAGCGTGCTAATTGCATCCTGTCCGTGGTACCTAACTCGTGGAGTCAGTCTGCCTGTGCTGCATAACATAGTGCCTGCTGTGGGAGGCACTCAGTAGGTGTCAGCCATTTTTATCCTGATGTTGCCAGCCTGCGTGGCCGTCTGCCCCTGTGAGCACTGAGTCATCTGTGCCTTCCCAGAGCAATGCAAAAGGCTGAGACTCTTGTCACTGGGGACATCAGAGCCCCTACTCAGCGAGCCCTGTTGGGCCCTGCTTGTATGCTGAGTACATTTGTATTGTGGGGAGGTGAAAAGAAAGTCCCTGACTTTCAAGAACTTCTAGTCTCCTGAAACACCAAGGGGTCAGGATGAAGAAAACAGAAGAGCAGAAATGTGTAAACACCAGTGTGACGTGAACTAGGATAAAGGAGCACAGCCCATGGGGTATTCCGGGATGGGGAGTGAAGGGCTGGGCAGCAGGAGCAAACCGCAGAGGCCTGAGGGAGGGGAGAGTCGTTGAGCAGAGCTCCCACGGAGGACAGAGGATGGAGAACGGGCATGGGCTCGGAGGGATGGAGGTGGAAGGGCATTCTTCGTTGGAAGGTGAGTTCTGCTCAAAAGAGTGCAAACTGTTCATTGTAACCACCTCTTACTCGCTCTGGGTCCTTAGGCAGGTTACGTAACTCTGTGGACCCCATTTTCCTTTTGTCTGAAACAGCAATGGTGATAGTGATGGCGCCACCCTTTCATTGTGAGCATTGAAAGAACAGCACAGAAAGCAGGTAGCACAGAGCCTGGCACGTCATTGGTGTTCATGAATGCTTGCTAATACCAGTAGTATTTGTTTGAAATCAAGTATGTTAAATAAAAAAGAATAGTTATTTGTAACAAATCCTAGAACCCAATGAACAGGAATTAGGCCCAAAGCCAACTTGCATGGTTTTCAGTTCTGCACGTAGTGGTTACCCTCCAAGGTCACCCCAGACCAGCGCCCAGACGACTTTCAAGAGAAGGACTAGATAAGCCTTTATGGTAAACTTTCAAGAACGTGGTTCTGCAAGAAGTCCAAGATAGGAAGACCTTGTATTTGACCTCATATTTACTTTTCAGACTGCGCTCACATGAGGGAAAGATGAGCCTAGAGAGCCAAAAAGGTGGAAACAGTGATAATAGAGAACCTGAAGGAAAAGAGATGGATCTGGAAGGCATGAGACCAAATACTAGAAAAATAGCCAAAAGGAGATCTTGTAGTTTGCCAAGGGCACGAGCCTGGAGGGGGGATGAGTGTCAGAGCTGTCGGGTGAGAACTCATCTGCATAAACCAATAATGGATCTGATATGAAGTGATGAATGCCTCCAAAAGGGAAGTAAGAGGACCCAGGGATGAGTTTATGGGGCATCAGTGGTGAAGCAGAGGAAGCACCAGAAAAGACAGGGAAGGAACAGCAGCAACGTCGAGAAATCCGAGGGGCAGAAAGCCCTGCCTGTCCGCCTGCTGCAGACAGCTGCTGTCCCCAGACCAGCGCCTAAGCAGAAACGGCAGGTCAGAGCGGGCGGGTCGGCCTGAGAAGCTCACAGGCTAGCGCCGGTCTGGAAGGCCAAGGTGGCAAAGGTCCAGTGTCCAGGAGTTCGGGTCAGTTCAGCCAGCAATACCAGTAAGCCAGCCAGACCAGGAAGCCTGGTCTTCCAGTGGACGCCACGTGCGATTTCTCTTCTCTTGCTTCCTGCTGGACGTGGACGGCTCTGGGGTGTCAAAGCATCTAACTGCTCCGAGAGAGAGTGGGCTGCTGATGCACTCGTTCCTGATTGGGCAGAGTAGAATTGCTAGGGTTCCAAGTGGTTCACAGCATCAAGTAGAGAAGAAATACAGGAGGGTCTCGTGAGAGGAGTTTTATGTGGATCGTTAGTGTCTTTTCCTAGAGTTGGGGTGAGCTTGGGGGGATCAGTAAGGGTTGGTGGTGGGAAATTGAAGAGTGAGATGGGCGGAGTTTTAATTTAATTGAGCTCGGGTACCATGCTAGGTACTTTACGTTTGTTGGCTCATTTTATACAACACTATTAGAACAATATTTCTCCAGATTATACATATGTAAAATGAAGATTTAGAGGGTAATTGAATTACCCAAGTTCTCACAGTGAATCCAGTGCAGAGTCAGAGTTTTAACACAGACAAATCTGTTTGACCACAAAGCCTAGGGTTTCCCCACCACCCCAGACCTACAGAGATAAGGGCTGTGTCTCTTTCATCCAGGATCGGGACTAGCTGCTCCAGGACGGTGAGAAGAACGTAGGACTGGATGTCGAAAAGCGCCTTTGCGTCGGTGCACGCGCTCCACGTCCTTGCGTTTAGATTCCTTGTCGATTTCAGTCCTTGCCTCTCTCTCACAGCTGTTGTGAGAATCGAGTAATGATTTTTCTTTTCAAATGAGAAAGTGCTTTGGTGGCCATCAGCCGTGAGCCTGTCGAGAGGGAAGTGTCCACTCCAGTCAGAGAGGAGATGCAGGGGTGGAGGGAGGCATCCACGGGCCGGGTGCGGGCTCCTCTCCTCTGAGGGCTGGGAAGGCGGTGGAGAGGGGTGTTTCGGGTGAGCAGTGGGGAGGGAACCTTGAAATGATCTTGAACATGAGTCATTCCCTTCCATGGACTGGGTCACAGAATTATCCATTGTCCAGAAACTTGAAGATGGTTTTATCGTTTAAAAATTCTGCCTCAGGAAATTCTTCCAAATGTCCGATCTAAATTTCTCATATTGCAATATAGGCCTATTTCATCTTCCTCAGGGATATGGAAAAAGAGATGCTTGCCATTCTCAGGTTTAATAATCTTTCAGGTTCTGGGTCTCTGTTATTAGCAGGTTTTTGAAAAATAATTTAATGGGCCCCAGCTTCTCTAAGGCTGAGTCATCCACTTGAATCCTTAGGGCAGTTTGTTAACTGTGCAGAGATGGAACCCTGGCAAATAGGCTGAGTAGAGACTCTGTTCAGTCAGTGCTAGCAGAAATAAATGAAGTTATTTTTCTATCTACTTTAAAAATTAATGCCTTAGACTAAAATCTTTTCCTGCTGCCAGTTGGAATTTGAACTTAACTCATCTTTCCCCCTCAACTTAGTTTTCTTTTCATAAGAATTGCTCCTGATGCCAATATGACCCAGAGGGCCAGGTTTCCCGTCTTTTGAGCTTGTACTTGCTACACACAGCATTGACTTAGCAGATGATCTCATCGAGGCCAGTGCGTGTTGACTCTGCTCTGTCTGAATTTGAGTGCATCAATCTCAAAAGAACTGTTGCCCTCTTAAGCAATGCTGCTCAATATCAAAGGATTAATTTCCACTTTCAAGTATGTCTCAAAGTAGTAGAGACCAATATGGGGTAACTTCCCATGGATTCTATTTGAATTCTCATCATTTCTCTAGAAATCTGGCATGTCTCCAAATGGAGACTCATTTTGAAATTGAATCTGTTTGCAGGGAAATTGACAAGTAGTTTTGCTGCTTTTACCATTTGTTTTTTAATACAGGTGATGTTTTAATGCCCCTTTCTCCTACTCACTAAGGTCACCCTAAAGCTCTAGCTCATGCTGGGAAGTCTCCTAGGCTGCACAGGTGGGAAGGAGACAGAGGAGACAGGAGTCATTTCTCATAAATCTCTTTGTGGCAGCATCTCACTTATCTGTGTAAGTTAAGAATTGCATTTGGTTGGGAGCAATGTAGACTCCAAAAACAAACAAGAGTCTATACAAATTAGAGGCTTTCTTTTTCTTCTACGTAGAAAACCAGAGATGGTCAGTCTAGGTCTGGTGTGACATTCCATGACAACATCACGGACCTGACTTCTTTCTGTATTTCCACACCACCGTCCCAAGGATGTGACTTCCATCCATCACATCTCTATTCCAGCAAGAAGTAGCAAGAATGGAGGACAAAGAAGTTGGTTGCCTTTAAGGATGCTTTCCCAGTTGTCTCAGCCAGCAATTTGTACTTGTTATTGACCAGAACTTGACCCCGTGACCACCCCTAGTTACTAAGAAACCTGAGAAATAGAGTCTTTGAGTTCCATACATGACAGCATCAGGTAAAGTTGGGATTCCGTCATGAAAACAGGAGGGTAAAATGGATACGACTTAGTAAGCCAGCAGTCTCTTCCACAGTGTGACGTTCTGCTTCAGGTATAGCAAACTTCAAAAGAAAAGAAAAAAGAAATGCAAATTTCTCTGTGTTCAGGGCTTCTGTTCCGTTTTTTGGTCAAAGGTACCCAGTGACTTGGCAGCATTTCCTGAGGTCTCAGAAAATCTGAGGGGCAGGAAGTAGGGGTTCTTTGATTAGTTTTTCTTGCCCCAATTCCCCTCGCTCCTTGCTAATTCAGTTTTCCTAGCCTTTTGCTTGAAATCTGCAAGGTTAAAACAAAGTGCTGTACCCTGACTTAACTTTTCTTGACTGCACTGAGACGGGGGTTTGAGACAAGCTCCTGGCTTTAATGTTCTCTCTGCCTCTCATCAGCAACTGCCCTTGTCTCTATTGCCTTCATCAGTATATTTCAAGACTTGAAACTTACTCTCAAAATCCCTGCTGAATTAGGGATAGTTGCTGGAGGCAGGGAGAGAAATTGGGAAAACTTATCAAGAAAAGTTGAAGTCTTCCAGGAGCACATCATTAATCATTTCCAGTGTGGAGCTCCACGAGGTCTATCCTTGTAATTGCCAGGGGACGTGTGCCCCTCTTCTCATTCGTTATTGTTGAGGGTTGGCTAGATAACAGGCACTGGCTATGTGGCACTCAATGAGGTAGGCTTGTCCTTGCTTTCAATAGGACGGATCACTGCCAGCCAGATCGGGATAGGTTTTTATTAGCAAGAGTGTTAAGAACTATTAAGAATGGGAGATTTTGCCCTACATCCAAGCTAACGAGTCAGCCTACCACAGCTTCACGGATGCTGGTAGCGTGCACAGGACACCAGCAGGTGAAGACAGGTTATCACTCACAGCAGTAGTAAGAGCCAGAGTATTAGCCTCTTAGCATCAGTTTCTTGAGCCCACTTCCTGCAGGGTGACATGAAGAAGGGTGTATGCCTCTTTCACACACAGGGGGTTATATGTTAAGGAATAACTTGGCACCCAAATCTCTTATAACGGGCAGTAAGCGTGCCTGCCCTTTGCTCTGGGTGAAACACTGTCTGCCTTCCCAGGCTGGTGGTTGTACAAACATCCTTGAAAAGGTAGTCTGACATAAGGGCAGTAGGCACTCCAATTGGATGGGAGAGTCCTACGGAGGGTGCCAGTGCTTCTGTCTGAGCGGGGAGACCCGTGGAGGGTGTCAGTGCTTCTGTCTGAGTGGGGAGTCCCATGGAGGGTGTCAGTGCTTCTGTCTGAGCGGGGAGACCCGTGGAGGGTGTCAGTGCTTCTGTCTGAGCGGGGAGACCCGTGGAGGGTGTCAGTGCTTCTGTCTGAGTGGGGAGTCCCATGGAGGGCGTCAGTGCTTCTGTCTGAGCGGGGAGACCCGTGGAGGGTGTCAGTGCTTCTGTCTGAGTGGGGAGTCCCGTGGAGGGTGTCAGTGCTTCTGTCTGAGCGGGGAGACCCATGGAGGGTGTCAGTGCTTCTGGCTGAGTGGGGAGTCCCGTGGAGGGTGTCAGTGCTTCTGTCTGAGCGGGGAGACCCGTTGAGGGTGTCAGTGCCTCTGTCTGAGTGGGGAGTGCCGTGGAGGGTGTCAGGGCTTCTTCCTGAGCGGGGCGACCCGTGGAGCGTGGTCTCCAGCACAGCGTGTGCTCATGGCTGCCTGTGCTCTACAGCACTCACCTCAGTCAGGCCTGTTGCTCTAGTCTACTTGAGATCCGTGCATTCTGTTCTTTGGACCAAAGATAACCCCTCACCCTGATCAACTGCACAACAAACATAAAATGTTATGAAATGCGCTGTTGAGAGAACTTAGCTGGTTGATTATAACAAGGGATATCTCTTCCAGAAAGACCACCTTTCTTGAGCATCAAGAGCCTTAACAGTGTTCATACCCTTTGACTTTGCAATTTCACTTCTGGGAATCAAGCCTAAGAAATTTGCAATTAAAAACATGTATGCCCATTTATTGATGTGATAATGTGTGCCGTTTTATCTCATACATTATTTATATGATGGATTGCTACACATTCGTCATTAGAAATGAGGTTTTCTTTTTTCTAAAATTTCTTAACTCTATGGGAAAATGTTCATTGTATAATAATTGACAAAAAATGGGATCAAATTTGAGGGAAGAATTAATATATTGGGGGAAGATAATACATGAAATTACAAACAGTGGCTAACATTAGTTGGTGAATTTTGAGATATTCTGTTTCTTTAAACTTTTCTGTATTTTTCAGGTTGTACTAGTGGACAGTGGTAATGAGGGGGGAATGCCTTCTTTTTTCCTCGTGTTAATTATGTCTGCTTCCTGGAAGGTAGTTAGTGGCATCATTTTGAAGGCCACATACAGTACCCAGTTTTGAAAGTTCCCTGATAGCTATGGTGTAGACATGAGTGCCTCATTAAGACCTTAGCCACCTTCCCCTTTATACCTGCAACAACCTGTGTGCCTGCAATTTCCTAACCAAAAAATATAAAGAAGGTAAAGGTGTCATTTGCCCCCAAGCCAGTCTTAGGAGGTCATCTGGTTGTCATCCCCTCTGCATCTAGAAGCCACAGAGGAAGAAACCGAGGACCTCCTGGGTGCTGGTGTTTTATTTAATGTTTACTGTAACTCAAAGTATGAGAGGTAAAGGTATTTTCCACATTTTACAAATAAAGATCTGGTAGAGAGATTAGGTCCCTGGCCAGAGTCACATCGCGGGTAATTGCAGCGCTGGCATTCCAGCGCGGTATGCAGACTCCAAAACCCGGGTTCTCGCCATTTCTGCCCTGAAACAAGTTTCAAAGTTGCAGTATTTTGATTAGCTGCTGGAAATCCAGGTCTGGCTGGTGGACACCCATTCGAAGCGTTTCCTCTACTTGTGCAGGCAGACGAGTTAGGACATACATGAAGGCAGGTGGGTGCCCGTACCTATCGGCGCGTCTCACTGTCGAATACCACCTCAGTCCTGTTCTTGCTTCTTTTTATCCAGGTTATGATCCACATCCAGTCAAATGCACCAACAACCCTGATAGAGATACTAAGGGATGCCACAGAGGGAAACTTATCCAGGTTTGTGAAAAGACACGAGTTCTCAGAAGAAGTGGTGAGTATGCGATTTCTGCACAAATCAGCTAAAGATGAAAGGCCATTCTCCGCAGTGTCCACTTAATGTCTTAATTCTGGAGGCTACCTCCTTGAAGGGACTGTCAGATGTGGCAGCCTCTCTCTTGTTCCTGCTGTAGGACTTCTGTGTGGGTGTAAAGATTTTTTTCTTCCAGCAGAATATATCCTCCAAAATTCTAGGGAAACATTTTCCTTTTGCGTTATTTGTTTCCCCACACTGTTTTCATGGGTCCCAGCTCTCTTTTTCTTCTTTTTCCTTTCTCCTCTGGCCCCCAGGACCTTCTCCCCACTCCTCACTCTCGCTTGATGATTTTCCTTCCTTTTCCACAGAGGAAATGGAGGCATCTGAACATGGACAGCCTCCTTGCTCCTCGCCCTGTCTGCTCAGCCTTCCCTGCCGAAGCCACGGGACTGCACACACCCCTCTCTGGAGCCAGCTCCCAACTTGTGCCCCTGAGTGTGTCCCCTCTGACCTGCTCCAGGGTGCCAGCTCAGAATTTGTCTCCCCTCTCTTGAGCATCTTGAATACCCACTTCCCTGTGGATCATTCCATCAGCAAACAATAGGCTGCAGTATCTCTCATCTTAAAAAGAACCTCCCTACTTAAACACACAGAGGGACATCCTCCAGCTTAGACAGGGAGACTCCACCTCAGACTCAGTGTGAAAATGTGACACCCCAGTAAGAATACCGTGAGGTTTCTCCTGTAGTTAAGCTTTAGTAGAAAGAGCAAACTAGCAAGAATAGCTGGGGGAACCCTGTGAAAGAGCAGGAAGGGGTGCCAGACCCACCGGATATTAAACCGAGTTAAAGCTTCTGTTATTAGAACTGTGGTCTTAGCTCCTGCGTAGACCGACTAATGGAACCATACAGTGCTTTGCCAAATTATAAAACAAAGTTAAATAAAATGAAGGGAAAGAAGCAATTTCCAAAAATTGAAGGCAAAATGAATCAAAGGAACCCACATGTCGCACTGATGGCTTATAGGCACACACAGAGGAATTATTCTAAGTCGTTTGACATTTAGTAATTTGTACATCTCTAGTGGTATATAACCTAAGGGGAAAAACAACTGTGAGAAAGCGCGAATTTTGGCAGTGCTCGCCGTCAGTCGTGACACCACTGTTGTCATTCTGACTAACGAGGATTTCCTCCTCTCCTCGCCTTTCATAGTCCTGGCCCGGCTGGCGTCAGAGATGGTGGGAGCGGCAGTAGAGGCAGACGGCTGCTTTCTCCCTCAGCCACCCTGTTGCCTTCCTGGCGCCATCCCGTTCCCTCACTTCCACCCAAAGGCTTCTTCTGCTGGTGAAGGGGGCTTGTAGGGAGGCACTGGCTGTGGTTTAGTTTCAGTCTTCCTTCTATTGGGGGTCTCAGTTCTGTGCAGGTTGTGACCCACCCACACCCTTTTGGAGCATATTTAGGGGAACTGGAAATGTGAACAGGTTTTAAAGTGCACACTCGCATGTGTGCACGTCCATTACTAAGCATACACTCACGTGCGTGTGCATGTGGAAATAAGGGCACACACATGCATGTGTGCAGTGATAATCACATAGTTGTGTGCGTGTATGTCCATGCTAAGCGTATACTCGCACGTGTGTGCATCCAGTGCTGAGCGTACACTTGTGTGCAAGTGCATGTGGTAATAAGTGCACATTCTCATGTGTGTGTGCAATGATAAGCACACAGTCGCATGCATGTGTGTCCAGTGCTAAGCATACACTCGCGTGCGTGTGCATGCGGTAATAAGTGCACATTCTCATGTGTGTGTGCAATGATAAGCACACAGTCGCATGCATGTGTGTCCAGTGCTAAGCATACACTCGCGTGCGTGTGCATGCGGTAATAAGTGCACATTCTCATGTGTGTGTGCAATGATAAGCACACAGTCGCATGCGTGTGTGTCCAGTGCTAAACATACACTCGCGTGCGTATGCATGCGGTAATAAGTGCACACTCTCATGCGTGTGTGCAATGATAAGCACACAGTCACGTGTGTGTGTCCAGTGCTAAGCGTACACTCATGTGCATGTGCATGCGGTAATAAGTGCACACTCATGCATGTGTGCAACAATAAGCACACAGTCACGTGCATGCAGTGCTAAGCATACACTTGCGTGCATGTACGTGCAGTGATAAGTGCACACTCACATGCGTGCAGTGCTCACACAGCTTCAGTCTCCTCAGTAGCACTGATGTTCATTAGTCGTTCCTTAGACCTGGTCCCACTTGCATGAGTGCAGCATCCACACACACGCCACGTTAAAGATACTGCTTTTGTCTGATTTTCCCGGAAGCCTACAAGACTGATTACCTAGAAAGCTCCCCCTCTAGGCGGTGTGTTCCCTGGGTGTTGTGAGACCACGCAGGACACTGCTCGTTGAGAAATGAACTGATTGATACGACGCCAGGAGCTCTGGAGCTAGTTCTGAATACGTGAGATTGCACGTGCTGCTTGTATTGTAAAACTCTGCATTTTACAAAGGCTCTATTTAGTGTTTATACCAGCAGTCGTTAAAATGTCTTCTGTATAGAGACACGGTGCTGTTACACCCCCAGAGAAGTGTTGGAAAGGATAGTAGATTCTCTGCAATACAGTGACTGAAGCCACTCAAACATTAGCTGTCGCTGCACTGACTTCCTTTCTAAAACTAAATGGACAATGCAGTATAGCGTGTTTTCTGCTGGCATTGCAGAGTGGTCCCGACGACCACCCTTGATGGTTTTGTGGTGCTGTGAGAGCTGAGGCAGTGCGTGCAGTGGAGCAGCTTTGCCCCACTTCCTTTGGAGGCGTGTGCTGCACAGGAAGCCTCTTCCCCTTGGTCTGAGGACTACACCAGCTAATCTTGTTAAGAACATGATGAAGTGCTTACACTTCTTGTCTGAAGGCTCGGGGGGAGCCCTTCTTTGAAAGGAAGGTGTGCAGGTAGCTGATAGGATTATGATGTATTCAGAAGATGACTAAAGGATTTGTTAGGGACCTTGATCATAATAAAATTTTATGGAGCAATGTTGTTAGGTTGTATTGTTAGTAAAGATTAAACTAAGTAAAATGTTGACTTTAGGGGCCAGCCCCGTGGCTGAGTGATTAAGTTCACGTGCTCCGCTTTGGCGGTCCAGGGTTTTGCTGTTTCAGATCCTGGGTGCAGACATGGCAGCGCTCTTCAAGCCACACTGAGGCAGCGTCCCACATGCAACAACTAGAAGGACCTACACTAGAATATACAACTCTGTACTGGGGGGCTTTGGGAAAAAGAAGAAGTAAAAAAAAAGATTGGCAACAGATGTTAGCTCAGATGCCAATCTTTAAATAAATAAATAAAGAATAAATAAAATGTTGATTTTGTTCACATTCTAATTTTGAGCTCACCCATTTCTGTAGAATTAAATAACATTCATACACTAGTGACTCTAATATTTACACCTCTGTCTAACCTGTCTTCCGTGCCTTATCCCTGTATATCCAACAGCGTCTGGCATACCCACTTAAATGGTTCACAGGCATCTCAGTCATGTCCACATCAGAACTCTTGATGGAGAACCCTCTCCAAATCTGGTCCTCCCATCTTCCCCGTCTCAGTTAATGATGTCCCCCATCACCAAGTTACTCAGCCCAACTTAGGACGATGTCTTGGATTCCTCCCTTTCCTTCACCCCTTCGACGGTAAATCCTGTTCAGTTTAACCTCCAGAATATGTTTCACCTGCATTTACTTCTCCCTCTTCTCTATATATCTCCCAGCCTGAACCATCAGTCCTCTCTCCTCTGGGCTGCGATGGGGACTCCAGATTAGTCTCCACGTTCTTGTACCCTCCAGTTCTCTACACAGCTTTTTAAACCTAAATCAGATCACGTCCCTGTTTGGGCCCTCTGATGGCTTTAGAGCAAAGCTCGCCACGTGCTGACGTGATTAGCCCTGCCTCCTCCCTGCTGGTGAAAGTGAACAGTGTGACTCCACTGCTGTGTGACCTGCTTTCCCTGGCCTGTTTCATTGTGAAGTACGAGCCATTTGACCCCCTTTTGTAAGATATTCAGTGATTTTCAGGTGCTAGTGCTGAATGTTGTGTGCGGCTTACGGAGTCCATTGTAGTCGGTCATATCTCTGTGCCCAGGAACCAGTTTTCACACTTCACGTGTACACTGTTCATTTTTACACACTTGTATCTGCTTCTTGGAGGATGGAAAGAACAAGAAAGAAATCTTGCAGGAAAATAGTGATCTGCTCTTCTTGCTTTTCTCCAGCTGGCCAAAGTGAGGGAAAAAGTGAAGGATGTGCCCGTCCTCCTGGCTCGATTTGACGAGATCTATGGGAAACTGCACGTAAATGGCCAGGTCACCACCTACACTTTGGATGCTCTGCTCTGCCACACTCCCCGGGACAGGAAATCCCACACGGTGCTGTTGAACAAGAGGACGGTCAGCCGTCGGACCCTCCAGCCGCTCAGCCAGTCCCTGTGGGCTGAGTAACGCCCGTTCCAACCACCCATGGGTCTGAGGTGGAGGGATCCTGCTTGTGGTGAGTCACTGGCTTCCCGAGAAATCGGGCGTCGTACGCCAGTGGACACTCTGCTCAACCTGCTCTCCTCCTTAAGTTGCCAGCTTCGTTGAGGGCTGGCATGCTGCCCTGGGAGGTGCCTGTGGCCGCTGTGAAGATGTGGATTCCAGCAGGCAAGGAGCTCACCTCAGAAAGGAGGCTTCCCCTGGTGAGCTGCTGGGCGTCCTTGAAGGAACCCAGTCACCATCGCCAGTCCCACTTCCGGTGCCGGATGGAGCCCCGTGAGCGCCCGTGGGAAGGAGTGTCGCTGTGCATGGCCAGCTCCGACTCGCTTTCAGGGGCGTTACTGCGGGTCACACCCATGCTGCGCTCAGGAGCTCTGGCCTGTTCTGCCGCTGGGAACTGGCCCAGCGTTTTCTCACCTCTGCCATCATCGTTTATCTGTGACCCAAAGGAAGGGACCTGAGCCCTCCCTCTTCCATCTCTGAAATAACGGAGGCTGTGTGAGTCAGCATATCGATTCGAAGTTTCCATTCAAGGTTCAGTAGGGTCCAATTTTCTCAAAAATAAGAGGAATAAAAGGGTTCCAGAGAAGATATCTTGGGGTTATGCTTTGTTTCCTCAGCAGCATAAACAGAGCCAGAAGTTAGCTCTCAGGATTGATAACCAAAATTTAAATGATTGCTACATCGGTCATGGGCAAGCCATGTGCTTCTTAAAATACATGCCAATAAAACCACAGAATGCCCTCCAGAGGCCCTGCTTGGTGTGCTACGTGGGTCACAGATATTTGGCCTGCAGTCCATCTCTTTTCTCTTTCCGTGTTTTATCCTTTTGTAGAAGTGAATGTGTTGGGACAGCAGGTCAGAGCTCCTCGCACTGACCACGATTTGACGGTTTGAAGCACAGCCCCTGGGGAGCTGTGCCTATCGCTTCTGACCCCCAAGCCGTGCCAGCCTCTCCTCCTAGGGTGCTGTAGGCTCGCTCATCGGGGCTGCTTCAAAAACTAAGGCAGCTTTCCCTTTGTTGTTCTTCTGAGTCAAGACCTGTTCGTGGAATCGGAGATTTAGAGTGGGAGGGATCTTCCGGGTCTCCTGGTTAAACTCCCTCATCCTTCGGTTGAAGAAGTGACTTGTCCAATTACTAGTAACTAGTCTGAGGTGGAGCTGCGATTAAATCCAGATTCCCAGGCTCGTGCCCTCCCCGCTGACCACATCACGGCTCCTCGGAGAGGCTGTGGGCTCCCTCCACCTACCGGGTGCCAGGCACTCACCTCAGTTTCCTCATTTGTGGAGTGGGGAGGATAGTGATGCCCCTCACAGGCCTGCTGGGAGGGTGGGATGAGGCAGTGGATGCACAGTAGGTGCTGTAGAAACGGGGGCTAGTTAACCATTGTCCCCACGGTCGGTGACATGCAGGTTTGCAGCAAGTAGAAGAACAGTATAAACAGAGTTCTTCCTCCTGCTCAGAAATATCAAAAGAATTTTTTTTGCTTATGCTTTGTGAAGTATTCGCCACTTGTAAAGAAAATTCTCTGCCTTCGTAGCATCCTAATTGCATCTTGTGTGTGTCTGGTGTTTTGCAAAAAAAGGGAAAAGCATTTGGAGTTCTCTGCCTTCAAAGTCTGAGGGAATAACAGAGCGTGCTTCCTGTCCCCCGTTTATCTTTTATCTTCTCCAGCATTCCCCAAGAGCATTCAAATGGCTATTGTGCCCTGGGTGAATGTGGCCCTGGTTGTTAGCTGACAACCATTCATTAGCCATAAAAAAAAAAAAAGAATTTTGTGAGCAATAAATAGCAGGCATGACTGTCCTGGCCTGCTGCTCTGGGGGTCCGGCGACTGCGCTGCTCTGCTCTGCTGGCTGCAAAGCCGGGGCTGCCCACCTGTTCCCCAAGTCTTACTGAGGCACCCAAGGACAGTGACAACTCATGTGTAATGTTGACCCCAAAGTAATGGATGGTTCTGACAGCTAAAACAACCCTCAAAGAAAAAGTATGCTCAGTATATATGAGCATTTCATTCTTTAAAATTTGGTAGTTTCTTTGAAAAATGGTGTTTCTTTGCAGTCGATACTTTGCCTAAAGCATCTACTTACTCTTCAGTAATTTGCCTAAAGCATGTACTTATTCTGCTGATGAGAATATTCCATTGGACAGGACATCGTATTCCCCAACTCTGTTATGGCCTGTGTAGATTGTTTTCACTTATTGTAAACGTCCATTGCTCCAGAATCCAAAAATCATCATGACGAGTACAGCGCAGTAGGATAGAGACGAAAAGATAGCTCCTTAAGTAGGTGGTGTCAGGGTGGTGTTCTCGTTACCTCTTGCTGTGTCAGAAACACTCCTGACCTTAGTGGCTCAAAATAACACCCATCGTTTTATATTTCCCCGTATCCGTAGACTTGAGGGGCTCAGGCAGGCAGTTCCTGCTCAGGGTCTCATGTGGCTCTGGCCACGTGTTGGCTGGAACTGGAGTCACCGCAGGGGCCGCCTCACTTGGGGTCCCTGGCAGCTGAGCTAGGACCTCAGTGGAGGCTGGTGCCTGGGCTCGCCATGGAGCTCCCAGCAGCCTGGCAACCAGGTACCAGGAGGGAGTGTCCCAGGAGGACCAGGCGGAAGCTCTTGTCACCTTTTATGACCTGGTCTCAGCAGTCACAGAGCATCACGTCCACTCAAGCCACAGGCCCATCGAGAGTCACGGGACAGAGCACACGTTCCCCCTTTCAGTGGTGGGAACACCGAGGGGCTGATGGTCATGGTCTAAACCCCACAGACAGTTTTTTCCAGCAAGCTCTTGGAACTTCTCTCCTTCCCCGTTGCTACTTCCCTAACTAAAGCCACCACCATTGGTCGTCTTTCAGCTACCCTCTCTGCTGCAGCCGGAGGGAGGTTTCCAGAGCAAATTGGTCCTCTCCCCTGTTAAGACCTCCCGAGGGCCCCTCACATCGCCGTGGATAAAGCTCAGACTCTCCCAAGGTCTGGAGGGCCCGCGTGCCCTGCCCAGGTGTCCAGCCCGCTCCTGCTGCTCCACCCCCTCCTCCCTCCCGCCCTTCTTTCACATCATGGCCTAGCCATCTCTCCTCCGGGAAGGCTTTCTGGCCACTTGGTCTCCAGTCCGGGTAGGTGAGCACCCCCTGCTCCCCTGTGCTTCCCCGGCCAGCACTCGTGGTACACCTGTCATTGCCCGTTCTCTGTTCTTCACCAGAGTGAGGCGCCGTCTGTCTCCTTCTCCACTGTTCGCCCAGCACGTGGGGAGGATGCTGAGGCTGAGCACTCACCCGCTCGTTTATCCTGTGTAACGATGTTGGTTGTCTTCACGACCCCGCTGTGAGTAGCTTTTTCCCTCCAGTGCCATCTGCTTAGTCCCAGACGCTGCACACTTAGACCTGACTGATCTCTCCCTCAGCCTGTTATGTATCCTTTTCTCCTCCCACCCAAAATGCCCTCACTCTTACTCTTACATCCCTTTCTGCCCATGTTTCAAGATTCCACTCATGTGTCACCTCTCCCATAAGGCATTCTCAAGCCATAGAACCCGTATGGACTCTCCATTCATTCATTCAACAAATTGATACTGAGGACCTCCAAAGGACAGGGCATGAAAGGCTCTTAAGATGCCCCAGGGAAAAGACTGATGAGATTCCTTTCCCAAAGCACAGCATCTGTAGCCTGCCATGTCCAACGTAAGGACCCTTTGGCCTAGTCATTTCCTCTTTGCCTCTGTTGATAGTACTCATTACAGAGTGATCAAATCCTGCTGAAGAATGGACTCAGTGATGAAATAGACAAATCCCATTCCAGTTTTTGCTAACAGTTTTGTTGACGATGACCCAAGAAATTAATACACATTTGAACTAATTGATAATGAACGTTACTGGGAAATTATAATGGGGAGGTAAAGCTTTATCTGCTCCAACTCAGGTAGGCAAATTGTAGATTTCTCTGTTTCTTTGCAAGTGAGCAAAAATTTCCTCTGCCCCCTCTGGTTACACTGAGCAGCTGAGAGGAATTCCTGGGAGACTTGATCTTGCTTGAAGGATCTCTGGAGCTTGGTGTGTTTAGGTCGAGGCCTCATCTTTCTGGAGATGTTCCTCTCACCCCTTTTCATAGCCAAGATGACAGGGAGTATAAGGCCGTGGTTCTCCAGCGTTAGCAGGCATCAGAATTACCTGGAGGGCTTGCCCAAACCTGGATCGCTGGGCCCCACCCCAGAGTTTCTGATCCATGGGTCTGGAGTGGGGCCCAAGGGTGTGCATTTCTAGTAAATTCTCAGGTGCGGCTGTCGCTGCTTTGGGGATGTTAAACCACGGTTGTAAGAGGAAGCTTTTGTTTCTTCATGTGCACAGGAGCCTGGGGCTTCACATGCAATTTCCGGGCCCTCTCTGGTCTCTGCTGTGAGGAGCAGGGACGAGCAGGGCAGGTGGCCTTGTCCCTGGGTTCCGGAGCCAGTATCTGCTGAGGTCATGCTGGCACCCGCGGCTGAGGTCTGTACCTGTGCTCATAAGGACCTCCACTGTGAGGCTGACCCATCCCAACCCCACGCCCCCCAACTGGATCCGATGAATCTGGAGTCACAGGGCATTATGATTTAAGATCAATGAAAAATAGATCAATTTAGTGTTTCCACATTTTATACACACACCCCCATGTAAACTAAGGCAGCGTGTGGCAAAACAGCCCAGGGCTGACAAAAACAACTCAAGATTCACATTTACTTTATGACATTTCTGTCTACAGATTTGACTTGGGAAAATTAAACTGAGTAGATAGAATAGCCATTTAAAAATCACAGTGGTAAAGCTATGATCAGAAAGTTTGATATGTGTTATGCACAAAAAAATGTATGGGAACCAATTGATCCCAATGGAAAGATTTCAGAAAAGTAAAAATAAAAAGATATTTTTAAAAAGGAAATTGTTTGTATTTCATAGAAAATGGATCAAGGAATTAAATTGGCTTAAATGGTATTACCTCAAAAAATACCTTGTGAACAAAAATTGATAACTGGTGTAGTTCTGACTGACCTATTTTTTATTCATTTACATGGAGTCATGACAAGGGAATTGAAAAATGCCCTCTGTTCTCCTGGAGAGTGTGTCCTGCAGGGGGAGCAGACGCTACACGGTGAGTGACCACATGGTCACGATGGGATAAATGCTAAGTCCAGGTGATCCTCAGATCATCCTGTGGCGTGGATGGTAAGTGCATGTGTGTGCACACGCATACACGCACACGTGCACACACACGCAGAGAAGGAGAGGACCTTTTCTCGTCTTTTGTAGCACCAGCTGTCATTCATGTTGACATGTAAAGTACGTTGCTTTGTGTTGCTACAGAACTTTGTCTCTCTAGGTATGTCTAGTGTCTCCTGAAGGACAATGTATTCTGCATTTGTGTTATGTGACCCCAAAGTGCCCGTGTAACATAATACTATACATTTAACAGGGCCTTAATACTTTTTCTTTTGTTGTTTTTGTGAGGAATATTCGCCCTGAGCTAGCATCCATTTCCAATCCTCCCGTTTTTTTTTTTGGTGGAGGAAGATTAGCCCTGAGCTAATCTGTGCCAGTCTTCCTCTATTTTGTATGTGAGATGCCTCCACAGCACAGCTGATGAGTGGAGTAGGTCCGGACCCAGGATCTGAGCCCGTAAACCCGGGCCGCCGAAGTGGAGCCCATGGAACCCTAACCACTGAGCAAAGGGGCCGGCCCCCAATACTTTTGAAAGAGTGAATTAAGTAACGGCAGGTTTTAGTTCCCATGTATAGTCCGCCACGGTAAGCTCAGGTACTTCACAACTTTCTCATAAGCTGGTTGCGCTTTCCATCCTGGTTTTACAAATGGCAGAGCCGAGACCCGTCTAGAGCAATGGAATGCCCGAGAAGGGGCGCAGGTCAACTCGTGCATTGACACACTGGCCCGGAGCCCCTCTCCCAGTCGCGCTCCATGGGGTTCCCCCAGTGCTCCCAAGCACCCAGCCAATGTGGGACAGGCGTGAGTTGGGGAGAAGGGGGTGGGCACAAGGGCTCAGGTGAAACTTCCAAGCTGCTGGCCTGTGCGCCCTGCCCACCTGCCTGCCTCGCTGTCCCTCCTCCACGGCAGCATTTCCAGTGATTAATGGGAGGTTTGGGGAAAGAAGGCCGAGAGGGAGGAAAAGAGGCCCACACTGGGTTGCTCACCGTTCCTCCCCGCTGAATCACTCCAAAGCTGGGTGCTTCAGGGCAGAAGGAGGCCTCATTTCATCAGGCTCTGGGAGGAAAGCGCACCAGGCACCCCGATGGCCTGGACGGCCTCGCTGAGTGATGGTGCCACGTGCAGGCGCCTGGGAAGTGCCTCGTTGGGTTAGGATGCCTACATCCCTCATCTTCCCTGAGTTCCTCTTCCTGCCCCAACTCAAGCCAAGCTGCTCACCCAGAAGAGCCGGGCGTCACCTTGTCACTTAATCCCCCAGATCTCTCTCTCTCCCAGGCAGTGAGGCCATCCTGTTCATTTACAAGGGATATTGCAAAGGAAGGCGTAACCCCGCAAAGCGGCTGCTCTACGGCTCGGTTTGACTTCGAACCCGTGAAGGCAAATCACGTACCTGGCCACTCAGCAGCAGAACCTCCTGGTGTATCCCCCTGCACCCCAGGGGGCATGTTATGTGGCTGTTAAGGTTCAAGAGCATTAGGGGACCTTCAGTTTCGTGGCTGGAAGTTACTGGATGAGTATCAGGTAGTTTAAGGAGTGTGTCTGGTTGTAGCTGGTAGTGGGATGGCCACATGTGTGTCCAAAGGTGATTCAGCACGAAGGCCACCTGAGAGGCCGGGAGAGAACCAGCCACTCAGCGTGAGGCTTTGGGGCCGTAGGGTTTGTCTCCCTCCATCACACTGTAGAGAGCAGAGGAGATGTCCTTCCAGCTTAGGTCAGGATTAGTTCCTTGGACACAAACGTGCTCTGGGGACGGGAATCCAACAGCAACAGGGCCGTGTGCTTTCGTGAGATGAAAGAAGGAAAAGGAAAAACAGCTGATGCACAGTCAGACCTAGCCTCGTCAGACCTGTGCCAAGCACTCTGTGTGCAGCAGCTCGCCGGGTCCTCACGTGGGGCTGTTCCCCCTGCACAGCGGAGGACGCTGAGGCCGAGAGGCAGTCACTCCGATGCCATGCCGGGCAGCGGTAGCACCGTGGTCCCCTGCCAGAGCTGGGACCTGGAACTCTGTCTCCATACTGCCTGCCCAGACCGTGGCTCTGTGTGTGTGTGTGTGTGTGTGTGTGTGCGTGCGTGTCCACGTGTGTGCACATGCGCGTGTGTGTGCTCTTCAGGAGAGGTCTTTATACTGTTAATTCAGCAGAACCTCAAAGGGGCCTCTGAGCAAAAGAAGGTTAAAATATATATGCATTCACACATACGCATGCACACATACGTATTCCTATATTATCTGTGGATACATTGAATATATGCACATATGTGCACATGCACACATACGTACATAAATGTGTGTGTTTGGGTTTTCCTCGTTAACCCCGGCGGGTTTCAGTTGCTGATACACAGCTGAAGAACTCAGAGTGGACAGCAGAGGGCGCCCAGAGTCACTATTTTTGAAAAGTGCTAGTTTTCGAAAGCATGGTCCATTTCTGGAATTGAGAGAGAACAGATGTCCACACCACAGGCTGGACAGGAAAGGTCGTTGTCGATAGACCTTAGGGAAGATGGAGAGTATCGTCTTCACTCAGATTAAGAATGATCCAATTGGGGCCGGCCTGGTGGCGCAGGGGTTAAGTTCACACGATCCACTTCGGCAGCCCTGGGTTCACAGGTTTGGGTCCCAGGCGCAGACCTATGCACCACTTAGCAAGCCATGCTGTGGCAGGCGTCCCACATATAAAGTAGGGGAAGATGGGCACGGATGTTAGCTTAGGGCCAGTCTTCCTCAGCAAAAAGAGGAGGATTGGCAGCAGATGTTAGCTCAGTGTTAATCTTCCTCAAAAAATAATTAATTAATTAATTTTAGAAAAAATGATCCAATGTTGAAGGATGTTCTTAGAGGAGAGAAGGCGGGAAGGGGGGTCCTCTGTGGACAGCACAGCACTGCCAGTGTGTGTGCACCTCGATGCTTCCCAAGAAACAGCCGACTCAGCGCCTTGCGAGAGGAAAGGGCGGTGGTGGTCGTTCGTCTCACCCGGGAAGAGTTTCCTCCTGACCTAGGAAGGAAGCGCCCACAGTGAGCCATGAGTCCTCATCTCCTGAAATCCACTGGCCTGTGGGAGAAGAGTTAGGCTCTTACTTTTTTCCTTCGTCGTTCTGCCCCCTCAACCCATCAGATGACAGCACCTGACTGTCTCTTCCTGCCGTCCTCGGGGGCACTGAGTCCTGAACTTTCTCCATTTAAGGAGGAGAGAGTATCCTGGCATATTGATCGCTGTCCGTCTCTGGGAACAGGACAGAGATCCAGTTTCCATTCCGTGGGCCTTGTTACCTCCTTAGAGTCAGAACACTGAACTTGGTAGGCGGTGGGTCTGGCCCCAAAGTATAAGTTTTTTATTCTTATGGACTATTTGGGTCTGTTTTTAAAATCTCTTTTTCTCTCCAAACCATCTCAATTCCACATTTCACTTTGCAAGTATAGACATGCCTTATAAGTTATTGATTATTTCACTGTGTTGAAATCTTTTCGTGTACAAAACACCTGGATAGACCCAGAGGGAGAAGCGCAGATCATAGCACTCCACCGCCCCTCTGAGTTTCAGGCACCTCTCCCACCGCGGGCAAGGATGCCCAGGCAGGGGTGTTTGAGTCCGCGCGTCCTGGAGCCGCGGTTTCGGTGGGCGAGCTGGCCTGGCGTGGGTTGCAGCAAGTTTGCCTTCTGTTCACGTTTCACAAACTAACGTCTTAGGATTTTTTTTCCTCCTTGAATTCTACTTCCTCTTCTTCTTTCTCTGTTCTTCTATTTTGTGTCTTCCCCATCATTTTGTTCATGCTTCTCCCTTTGAAAAAAAATATGTTAGGTCCCTTTTTCGGGCTCTTTGGTGACGGAGTTTGGCTCACTCACTGACTCAGAGTGGAGGCTGCTTTACTGGAACCTGGGAGAAACCAGAGGTTTGCTTTCAGTCCTGTTTCCCCCCAGCATGAAACTCTTATCTCAAGGGAGAAACTCTGAATAGGCCACGCTGAGAAAAGCAAGCACCAAGGCTGCAAACCCATTTGCCCCGGCAGCTGCCCTGGGCTGTCTTCCGTAGGAAGGCAACAAGGCCATTTGGAGCTGCCCATTTGCTCCCCAGACACATGGCGTGTGCCCAGGTCTCGTGCAGCCTTGACGTGAGTTAAGTCCTTCCAAGTAGGGCATGGTGAGCCAATCCAGCTAACACCATCTTTTACGGCCGCCCAAGGAACATTTCAACTTTCTCATTTTGTTCAACAGAGAATGTTTACCAAGTATCTATTTGGCCTGGAAAACAGAGAGGCCACATTAAAAATAACGAAATGTGTTTGCCAGTTCAACGTTTCCAGACCTGATATTCAGACACCTCCTAACAACCCCCAACCTCAGATCTAAGTTTGGCGTCCAACTCTGGGACTACATGTCTCATCCTCTGTGACAGCTGGGAGGATGTCTGTTACCACACACTTAATGATATTATCCCATCGCTTTCATCTTCATCGTTTTAAGTTGAGGCAACCAAATTGCATTTGTCTGTGGCAGCTACAAGAGGATATTTATTTTTAAGTTGATCTCATCTTCTCATTCTCAGAAATTGATGAATGAATAGAAGATGCACAATCCAAGCTGTGGCCAAGAAGTCCAAGATCATACGCATGTGAGATTGGGGATAATCACCCACCTATGAAGACAGCAGTAGGATGCTCATTAAGACTCAGTCGACAACACTTTTAGGTAAAGTTCACGCTGTTTGGAAAGCACGTTTCATGCCTGGT